AAGATGTGGTTTAAATTTGTCCTTTACATCTTCAAAGGAAAGAATTTACAAGTGGTCCATGGATTAGGAATTGCTGAAATCAGTCTATTTTTATTTTTTATTTTTTTTACATTCTGTCATTTTAAGTGTAAAAATGAGAAGCCACACAGTGGATTGAATGTCATTTTGTGGCTGGTTCACACCAGTGTTTCTGTTTTTTTTATTTTTTTTATTGAGCCAAGGCCCACACTGACTAAAAATCTCGTGGCACTCCACCAAACGAAAATGTCACAAAAAGTGGATTGAAAGTGAACAAAGATCCATTATTTGAAGTGAATAAATAGAGCCTGCTCGTGACCCGCTTGCATAAGGTCCTAATTTAGCAAACACGATGAAACATCGTTGCTGTGAGTGACATGTGTTTCACTCTGAGAAAAAGAAGGAAAAAAAAGCATCCGCGTAGTAATCACATTTTCACAATAGATGTACAGCTTCCTCTCATGGGCATGTCCACAATGACAGCGGCGAGACTACCGCCTCTATCGGGTCTGCTCCACTTCCTGTCAAGATCTTCGACCCCGGACTCGCTAGGACGGTGGTGTCAGGCACATCCTGTGCAACCCCTAAAAACAAAACAAAACCAAAAACAACCCATTATTGTCCAACTTCCTGGGTGAGCGTATGTCAGCGCGAGCATCCCTCCAGCTCACCATTATCGTTGCAAACATCTCCTGAATTCGCAGCTGCTGTTTGCCTTGCAGCGAGTCAATTGACATTTGATGTGACAAAGACGGCCTGTGTGGGCAAACGACGTGAAGTGCAGACGCAGGCACGAGTAAGCTTAACAAAGTCACATGCGAGCGCCATGGCAACTGTGCTGATCGAAACCACTAAAAAAAAGCACACCGAGAAAAACTGAAGTAAATGTTTGTGCAGTTCTTTTATTTCATAGCAAAAAGTGGGGGAAAAAACTAAATTGGAACATGTCTTTTCAAATTGCCTCAATCCGTGATTCTCAACTGGTGGGTCAGGACCAAAAAGAGGGTCGGAGATGCATTTCGGATGGGTCGTGGACAGCTGGTAAAAAATTATGGATTTGTATTTAGATTTTTACAGAACAATAGTGAGGCGTACCAAGTTCCCACATAAAAAAAAAATTCACTGTTGGGTAAATATCAGGAAATGTTACTCACAAATGTTACCCTGTAAACAAATACAGTGCAGCTCAGCTTTTGGCTAGTGGACGTCATAGCTAGCAGTATGCTTTTGGCAGTATGTCAAACTCATTGGAAACTGTGGTTAAAAATGTAGGGTTCATTATTAAACAGTTTAAAATGAGTTCTGTTCAATTATTTTCAGAGGCTATTTTTAAACCCCCCAAAAAGCTGTTTTTAACATCTATAAAATGTGTCACAAATTTGCAATAATAGGAAGATGCGGGTCCCAGGTGACAACAGTTTAGGATCACTAAACGTAATTTCCTGTCATCGTAGATTCTAAATCAGGGGTGCCCAAACATTTTTGACCGAAGATTGACTTTTCGATCAACAAACCTCCCGCGATCGACCCGTTACCGCGCACACGCACGCACATGCACACGCATGCCATGAAGAGCTATAGCCTGACACGGAGGTATGCGACGCACTTTTGCGGCCTGTTAACTATCGTAGCTCACGCGTACCGTTTTAAAATGCTTCTCTCGGCCCTCCAGACTGCCATTCTTTGCCCGTGCCCTCTGTGAATTGTACATGAAACAAACTCTGAATGAGGATAATGAGAACGATAAAAGATATTGCGCAACAGCTGTGACCACAAGCTGCAATTACAGACTGCTGAGCGCTAACAACTTCCAGTGACGCAGGTCACGGGCCACCGCAATTTTTTTTTTCCAATACTTTTTATGAAAGTGACACTGATAGGATGAATAGGGTGCAGTGTGCATTAACACAAAAACTATAGTACTAACATGCACAGAGACACATAAATGTTTGGTTTTTTTTCTCCTCTACACCCCTTGCGATTGACTTGGGATCAGTCCGCGAACTACCGGTCAATCGCGATCGACGTAGTGGGCACCCCTGCTCTAAATTGTCTTCCATGTATATGGAAACTTGCGTACTACATTTATCGAAGACTAATTTGCCTTCATCATACATCAAACCCCTAAATTGGCTCAGATGTTTCCAAAGACACATCAATGCCATTTGTTGAAAACTCCAAATTGTGTTTTCAAAAACATCCATGAGGTTAATCTCAGATTGAAATTGTCTTCTGTTTAGAAGAAAGT